TCATGTGCTCATTCATGCATTCACACGAATAGAGTGTCGCGTGTCCACTGTCTATGTAGCTATCACGACCCAGTTATACACGGGTTCTCGACGCACTGAAATTTCATAGATAAGACATATGCATGTCAGTGAATATTTTTGTTAACGCGCCGGGTGGCCTGTTGAATACCCTACGCTGGGGTGTGGTCAATTTAACTGCCTGAGATCTCAAAAACCAAGATAGCGAAAGACACCATATTCGCAGAGTGGATTTAGCTGTACGGGAACTCACTTGTGTCAAAATTTGATGCTCCTAAGTCATAAACTTGCGGTCAAATGAGGTTTAACAAAGTCAAACTGCAGGTTGGTGTCTCAAGCAGTCCCAGGCCACCGATAAGCTAGATGCCTGTTCTAAACAAAATTCCACTTAAGTCAGTGACATTGTTTAGCCTTTATAAGGTCAAGGTGACTAACCATCTGTGAGATTGCCCCTATTTTGCTGTTCCAATAAGCGTCAGGGGTGGTTACGCTTGGTGTTATGTTTTTGAAAACAACATGTTGCCCTGAGGATTTTTAGTCATTTTAGGTCGTCTGGACTATGACCTTTAAAAAGTGCACGGATATGTCTGTTGCGGTCTGTGCCACTAATACCGAAATGAGCACCAGAGACTACCTGTGAAGCCAAGCTCTGGAGTAAAAAGCGAGTTAGTTTGAACTCGGTCTAGCCTTTATTCCTGACCCTCGGTAAATGGAATTGATACTATTTCTACTTTAAATTGGTTTATTGTCTAAAAAACTATCTCAGATATGTATGGCTTCGTCTAACACTCCGTTCTTGCATCACATTGAACGCTTCCCTGGAAATGTCCTTTACTGACAGCCAGCCTGCCTTTGGCCCTCCATAGGTCAGCGCCCTGCAATGTAAATCTAGACTTTGTATACAAAATCCCCATTAAACTATCTACGGCTATGCAAGGTTTGACGAGCGCCGTCTGGAAATAATTCTGGGAAAAACCTTCGGGGTTGTCAATTTGAACTCCGCCCACCCGAACGCGTGTTAAGAATTCATCTTATTTCTCGTTAACGCCAATTTCACGCATAATTTAAGTTTATTCAAGCTTTCCCGAATGCCTTGGCAGGTGCTGTTCTGTTGAGAATCCCTTTCCCCTCTTTCCAATATATACGAATTGTGAGCCAGGGGTACGTCTGGCGGACACTGGGGGACACACAGAAGCTGTGCCGGAATTTTTTATGGGATGTACAAGGACATTGTAAACGTAGATCTTAGATCAAACGGGGTCATGAATTTGCATTCGCATCAACTTATTTTGGCCTCAAATGATCACTTTTGTTCATAATTAAGAAGTGAAAAATCATCTCACGTTCTGGCCTTGCGCGCTCGAAAGTCATAACAAAAACCCCGGCGCCCGGCTTTTAATCTCCGAGGGCTGCGGCCCGCATGTCCTGCGTCTCACACTAGGCGGTGGGCAGCGAGCAGATGAAAACGACAACGTTTCCGAAGAAAGTACCTTTAAACGCTTTAGGGTGCCAATCGGAACATTTAGGAAGTATTGTCGGAGTATGCTTCACCTATACAATTTTAGGATTTATGACACAAACGGATTAGCACGTACGACACCGCGAGCCGGTGCGAGAATTTGGTGGTAGAACTAGGCAAGTAAGGTTACAATCATCTTTTTAAGGTTACCATCACCTTTTCAGTTCGGACCAGCATGTCATCATGGAAAATAACTCAACTTACACGGCGCTTTTATCGATTTCCGATCAGGTGCTACAAAGCATGGACCGACCAGAAGTAACACTTCTGACTTTGGACGACTTGAGTCACTGTTTGGACGTAGTGGGCCAATCATTGTTGATAACGAAGCTGTGGCAGCTCCAAACATATACAGACTGGGTCCAGAGCTACTTGTAGGGACACACGAAGCGTGCTATGGTGGATCAGACGATATCAGAACCAAAAAGGATCACCATTGGCACATTTCAAAGGTCATGTCTTGGGTCGTTGCTGTAAAAACGTCTCCAGCAAGGACATCGCGCGCTTCATCCCATCACGCATAAGCGGTTCCCGTATCACTATAGTCCGGTACGCTGGCGACACCCAGCTGGACAATGAAGGCCCTCGGGTCAAATGAGCATACATGCGGTAGTCATTTGAGTCATTGTTTAGAAGCAGTGTGCATGTAGCTTTTACAGCATGGGATGATGGCAAATGGCACTAAAACTGATGTCATTGTTTGGCGACTGTCGATAGCTTACCCAAACCTGAGAATATCCGTCCATAGTGCTCATTGACTAGGTGTTACAGTGTTCAGAAACTGTGCGAAACCTAGGAATCGTGATGAACCCATATCTGTCATACAGCTGTCACATTGATCAGGCGACAAAATGAATTGACATTTTAGTAGGCATTCTAAGTCTCAACCTTCTTCACTGCAGAAAGTTTTCAACTTCGCTACCAGGGCCACCTCAGGTCGACAAAAATGTGATCGCATATCGAGCCGGACGGGACGATATCCGCCAGCATCAGCCGCCGCACCCGCGGCGGTGGCGGCGGGCCGCCGCAGCGTCACCGCACCGTCTCTCTCCACACCGAAGGATATCCGCCTGCAGCAGCTGCCGCACCCGCGGCGGTGGCGGCGGGCCGCCGCGGCGTCACCGCACCGTCTCTCTCACACACCGAAGGATATCCGCCTGCAGCAGCTGCCGCACCCGCGGCGGTGGCGGCGGGCCGCCGCGGCGTCACCGCACCGTCTCTCTCACACACCGAAGCGCTTAAAGATGAGCTCCTTGTCCTTCGGCATGAAACCCTCGACGGCACCGCCAGCCTCGCCTGTCACGTCACCTAGCTCCTGCACGAAGCCAGGGCTGGCAGCAGCAGGGCAGGCGGGAAAGCCCGCCTGTCCAGCGGGTGCAGCAGTCCCGGCTGAGGCCGCGCCGGCTGCCCCGTCTCCGGCCGCTGGGCCGCCATGCGCGCCTGCGCTCAGTCCACCCGCGTGCCCCGGGGCGCGGCCGCGCCTAGCCGGACACGGCCGCCAGGCACTCTAGTTAATTCATAGAAACCGCGTTCCACTGTACCTATCACGTGATTGTGGCTTGAACGTCGGATTGGTTATGCCATCTGTGAACAAAAGAGGGGCATGTGGCATTATCGTGTCATCTAGCGACAGGAGTTGGGAAAGATATGTTATAGTAGTGGCACCTAGCGGCAGCAACCAAAACTATTGAACGTCTTGATCGCTGGATGCTGTGAACATTAGATGTTGCGGCTTTGGACGTTTCGCGCTGAGCTGCCGTGAACGCCCGCAATGGGTACGGTATTGGAAGCATTTTAGATGTTATGAACGCTTGGTGTCGCAATATTGGATGCTATGAACTGATGCTATTCTGGATGCTGCGATCCTGGACGGTTTGATGGCTACCCGCTGCATTTCACACCACGGGCACTGAATAAGGTCTCACAACTGTTATGTTATCGTCCAGGCCAAATCACAATAAGATCATACACCTAGGCGCTCCCTCCGATCGCGGTAATATCTGATAGTACTTTTTTAAGATTTCTGTACTGATTGACCTCCAGCGTACTCGGCCACGGCGCTCAAGGCTTATCTGGCTCAAAACGAGGGCAAATTTCACGCGGTCACGTCTTTTCTGTCGGGAACACGTGACGCTATTTTTTCCGGCATTGTGATGTTAGTTGTCGCCGGTGAAGTGAAGAAACTTGCCACCGAAGGAATAGCCCACGGCTAACGGGCTACGGAATCATGATTTTCCGTGAAGGACTAGGTTGTCACGGATGCACAATGGATTGCATCACGTATTAGCCATTTCCGTTCCGATGAATAGTGCAATTTATCCCTAGGAGAGCTTTGCTCGCAATCGTGCAGTGCATGCAGCAATCGATACCATCAATGATAAAAATAACTTTCGAGTTGACTTTGTTGCAAGCCTCCAATGCCGTTTTCATTGCTGTCAATATTAATAGCTTGATCATATATCTATAGAGATAGCATTTTGAAAAACCCAAAAGACTAGACCACTGCCTTTAAATGCCCCCTTCTTAATTGATGCTAGCCTGCCTTAACGTGATGGTCAGTGATTCGGGGCTCAGAAGAAAAGATACCATCCCGCGCTAAGGGTGTCACTGCATACGTATAATAACGCGGGTTAACGGCTCTTAGTTGTCAATGCAGCAGACTTGGCCAATTCAGTTTTACGTTTTTATTTCTTTCAGAGAATGCTCCCCTCCAATGCTTGCGGACCTGCAGCGCTTACGGTTTGCAAAGTTACGACACCAGTTAAAATGTTTTAAACATTTTTGGCGTCAACTGGTGGTCACCTCAGTACGCATGGGCAACTTTGCATTCGAAATAATCGCGCAGCCACAAAAAAAAACACCACAGTGATATTAGGTGTATATTTTGAGCAATGTTTTAGTACAAACCAAACCTTCAGAGTAGGCCACAAGTGCCCACGAGTAAGTGGTAAAAACGAGGTTCTACCATTACATTTGTATCAGCAATACGCACCTTGAGCTTTCATCAACGCTTAGACTCGCGGGTAGGAGGCCTCGGTGGCGATACCGCACTGGTTGCTACCGTTGCGGGTCATCATGATATAGCCTCCCTGTCCCCAGCCAGCGCCCCAAGAGTTTTTGACGAGCCAGTAGCCGCTGCTGCCGTAGCCGACGACCAGCACGCCGTGGTCCAGTTGGGAGCTCGAGCAGCTTGTCTCGCTATAGATGCCGCTCGAGTAGAGCTGGAACGACTGGTGGGAGGCGTCGATCGCCACCGAGATGGGGCCCACGTTGCCGGCGCATCCAACAAGGAGCTCTCGCTGCCAGACGGGATGTCCACCCAGGAGGAGAGCAGAGCCACATTGGTGCCGTAGTCTTGGCACGTGCCGTCTTTGGCGGTGTAGGGGTAAGAATCCTCCGACTCGATTCCGCCGTGCGCCTGGATGTACCTGCGAACGATGGCATACGAACAGCCAGTCCCACGTAAGGACGTTCTTACCGCAACTACGATGCACGACTTCGACGTAAGTGCAGTGACCAAATTGAAATGAGTGAAGTTCGGTTGGAATGGTAATGGGTATTACAAGTTGATCGGTATTTCCGCGACACTCTTTTTACTGAACCAATACTAACTATTGCATCATAATAAACAGAAGTCGATGGGTTTGACCATTAGCCATGTTTTCGACGCCCTCATTATCCTCGCCTGGGATCCATTGCAAGAGCAATGCCGTCATCACCACATTTAAGCTATTTTTCAGAAGCGCGGGGCATTTAAGAGGCCAGTCAAATAACAAGGTATGCTCATATACAGTGAGGTCCATGGAGATTGGGCTTTCGGCAGTCATCCCGATTCTATATGTAAAGTTTATATATTATATGTGTATATATATATATATATATTTATATATATATATATATGCGTATAAATAGTTCGCATTAATTTTTTATGAATCAAGCAAGATGTGCAGCAATTTTGACAACACAGTTCGATAATATGTTGTACTGACTGCGGTTAAGCTTCGGTGTCGTTCATACTAATTGCAAAATGCATCACCAGGTAGCTCATGAAATTTGCCTGAACTGGTACGCTTAACCATAGTAGTATTTCAATGTTATTTTCAACATTTCAGAATAATTTGATATATAGCAAACAAGTTATATAAACACGTGCTCCTTGGGTTTCGGGAGGCTGTGATGCCAGTTTAACGAATCAAACTACACATGATACATAGATATCCTCCTCAACATAGCCGTTTACCAAATCATGACGCGTAGAAAATTGTCTTCCTTTGGCACGTTACGATTGTTTGTACCTACCAAAATACGGAGTTCGCATTTCAGTTCAACCATCATTGCAGCTCCGGCCATTCTTCTCAGTTATCAACCAAATGACAGCTTTTTATAGCTTTCAAAGGGCTTAGCGTAAAAGTTACCCGATCCTCTGATGATCAAATCCTTTTACCCCCCACACATATGTTGACCAAAGATATGTGATTACCTTTGGAATAAAATCAGCTGAACGATGACGATGCAACTTCGAAGCTAACCTGTAACGATATTGTACTCTGGCGAGGTGATGGACGCTCAGTTTTACGTACCGGAAGGCCAAATCCATGAGTCCTCCGTTGCATCCCTGATTTCCGTAAGTGTGGGAGCAGTCAACCAACTGCTGCTCGCTTTGAGGGAGCATGAATTTGCCGGCTCTCGCCCAGGCGCCCTCCAAGCCGCCGGTAGCCGAGAACGCCCAGCACGAGCCGCACTGGCCCTGGTCCTTGACCCCGGTCACCACGCCGTACTGGCGCCAGTCCATGCTGCTGGGAGCCTGCTTGCCGGTCGGCTGGTGGGTCTCGTGGGGCTGGCTGCTGCCCCTGATGAGGCCCTTGTATGTGCGGCTCCACTCCTCGGTGGTCAGGTCAGCAAACTTGTTGAGGGCCACCGTGAAGGTGTGCTTTCCCTCGGCATACTCCTTCATGTGCTTGTCGACGTACGCCTTGTTGTCGGCATAAACTGCGAAAGGAAGCAAGTTTGTTTGCGTGATCGTACAACTTGCAACGCACAAGCGCGTAGCTTGTTACGACAAGGACACAGTCGAAGTGACTCAGAGTCGACAGACCCAATCGGCTACACGATTAAAACAACACTCGTACACTCTGCGCAGGAGGTGACGGTATGATACCATATTTTTTCACGTGACAGCTTGGCGCGTCAACTCGGCAATGGCAACGCGTTCATAGTACTGTTAAATGGCACGTGCCATGGGTTTACTGATTTCTAGAGAACTGATGAACAACTCATTGGAAGAATGATGCACCGCGACGATGTTTGTAAAAGAGCAGCCCGAACATCGATTGCCGTTTCTATGCAGCTCCTCCTCCTCTTGTGCACGAAGTACATGCACGGCAATTCTTCAACTTCTGTGCGATGCCTCAGTGGAATACCAAACACGTTGCCCACGAGAAGCCTTGCATTACGGCGCGTTGAGCATGCCCATTTGCAGTTGATGCACCTTAAAACTCCACACTACGGTCAAATGCAGGAGCGGTTGAGGCAGTATCGGGCGCAGTTAGACCCCGAGTGACATGCATCTAGAGGATAATGACTACTTTGAAATGTAACACTGTGTTTTGAAAGTGTGCCTAATTGCACATCCCTCATTTTCCCCCTAATCCTATGAGACGGCTTGAAGGAAACCCTAGAAGTGGGCGCATACGAAATAAGTGTTGGTGTTGGCTGTACACGTGTCCGCATCTATTTTGCCTATTTTGTAGCGCCTTTAGTAACATTGCTGCAACTTTACTACACCATTGGGCTTGCCTTGCGCATCTGCAAACAGTGATAGTTATGAAGCAGTGTTCATGAGAATGGGAGCATTGCATGGAGGAACTGGGCACTATGGTGGCCTCAAAGCGACGACTTACTAATGCGTAGTTCATCGTTAAGCATGCGGTTGGAAAATGAAGCGTTACCTTCATCCTGTAGAACTCCTCGATAGGGTTGGCGTAGGCCTTGCCGTGTTCCTGCTTGAAGGCGTTCCATTCGGACTTCTCCACAAAGGAGGACGCCGCCCCAACGAGCAGCACGAGCACAGCGGCGCGCATGGTGATGTATAGCCTGCAGGACAAACCGTTTATCACTTTGGCTTCACATTCGCACTAGTAAAATACTGCCCTCTTTGAGCCACATTTTGAACCATAATACCGCGAACTTGAACGATGTTACGAGCGTCATGCCAAAAGGTACTTACCTAGCGCTGGACCCTCGCTAAAAACAACGCATCGCAGACTTATGGTCGTGTGAAACGAAAACCCTTCGCGACAATAAATGTAACTCGTGAGTCAGGGGGGATGCGGCCGCTTGCTACCACCTTAGCGTCAGAAACAATTACTTGGCAAGCCCACTACATGTCGAAGCTAACAGTGAGATTACAGCCGGTGCCAACCTCGGCAGCATGCTGTCGACCCGCGAGCGCCGGGGCTAAAGACAATTTCCTTGCAGAATTTGACAATTGCAAACTCCGTCGTAAAGGTTCATGAAATTTTCTATGCATGACATGTGCTTATTTTGACCCATTTATAGACCAAGTGAATCATTGTCCGATCACGTCACCAAGCTACGTCATCGGTGAAGGTTTGCATGTCAATTTGGCCCCACGTGGAGCTATTTGCAGCTTCCTTTCTTATTTTCCACCGCTGCGATGCAGTTCATCGACTGGTTTCCTTGCCTGTACACTAGCGGTTAGTCACACCACGAGTTCATATAGGTCATTATCGGAGGTCTTGCGAGATCATCTTGTGGGCGTCGGACAAAAATTACTTACTATTTTGCGTACAGGCCTTCACCGGTGAGGCTCCACTCAGTCCACCCGCTTCCCGGGAGACTGTGCCCATACCCACCTGCTAACGTTTCCTTCGATGTCTCTACACGCCGGTGAACGCTGCATATCCATTTTTGAAGCCATTCAGTATTATAATGTGGGAAGAGGCTCACGGAGGTTTAGACTAAAATCTTGCCATTCACGTTGATAATGACAAAAGCAGTGCGCAAAACTTGTTGTTACTCAAAGAAGCGTAAACAGCAACATTGAGTCCTATTTCTTGAACCATGTACCCGACATTTCATAGCTTTGCTACCAAAACCCCCACAACTATGCTGGTAATTTTCGGAAAGGCTGCACCTAAACCATCTTCTCTCCCTTTCAGATGTGCACCCATGGATGCAAAATGGCGAGATGCCCATGATGGTCTCTAATCACTTCTGTATGCGATAAATTCATCCGAATGGCCGGCATAATTCCAAACCAGTGTCGATGATATGTATGGCACGCATGCAAAAGGATATAAAAATAGCCTCCATTTAAGTGGCCCGATGCTGACCCAGTGTGGTATTAGCATGACCTTGACTCCAGGCTTCGTCGGCATTTTGGAGTGATTCTGACGCACACCCCGCCTGAGACGCACTGAGAAACGATGATACTCACGCGTTTGATCTCGTTCACAACGGTATGTGATGTCACGGATGCTGAATGTGTGACTGATGACGTCCACGGTCATATTCATCATGCAAAATAAGCGGGTGAAATTGGCCAGGCCTGTCACGTTGCTTCTTTCTTATTCCAGCCATAAACTGTTAAGTGGGAATGTTTGAACATGCCCTCCCCTCCCCGATGTGGTCGCGAGGCAAAATAGCCTGAGCTGCGCCAAAGGTTACGCCGTTTTTTTTTTGTGTCATCATAGAGAACAAAATTGCTGAGGAATCGAAATGGTCCGGAGGACAACCTTTCCAGTGCTCTGGTGAATTAAGGCATTCCTCGTTCGATCAAAGTAATGTAGTCTAGGTAGGGTGCAGCTTCGCAAAATGAGTAAGGGGGGGTCTTTGTAGCCACAAATGACCCAACTTACCCCAAAATAACCTGTGAACGCGGTTCTCATCGGCTTTGGCCTACTTCGTTCATAAATTTGGGGGGAGGGGGGTGGAACCCAAGTCGGGGGCCAGTCTTCCATCCGAATGGGAAATTGCACCCTGAGCTCAGTTGCTGAAAAACATAAAATGCCATAAAATGCACAAGTTGCTATGAAAGCTTTTGAAGATGATAAAACGGCCTTGTTTAACATGTGATAACTTGTTTTCTCAGAGCATTGCGTGATAATTAGAAAAAACGACAATGCAACCCGCATCCAAACATCTACTCAAAGACAACAATTCGAGGTTGCGATTTCTGAAAGCATATGTTACTGGTGGTATGTAAAGAGTGAAAAATGAAATGTCTTGATTTGTACCTGTTATATCACGTTGCTACCACCAAAACATTTAATGCAACTTTTGCGCTATGTTTTTGCATAACTTTGAAAAGGACACAAACTCAAGAGGTACACAAGTGATGCACAGCTTAATTTGTAAATCCTGAGCAAGGAATTCAAAATTATCATGCTGTACTCTTGTCATTACAGAAAAATAAAAAGCGGTCTGCTGGACTGAGTCCTGTGTACTCATGTTAGTAAACAGAACTCTGTCTTCTCTTTTAGTACTGTTTTAGTTATTTTCTGTGTTAGCACACAAAAAATTATGTTATCAAGAGTGCTCTAGATAACACGATTTCTCTGTTCATTAAGCATTCTCCTCAGTAAGTCATTGTTTGATGACGTCATCGTACCTTGCACAACATTGATAGCCAATGGACGGCCGCTGTATCTGAAAATTGTGCTCACAAACGCCAGATATAAATGACTGCCAACTACAATTTTATTGGCCTTGATCTTGCCACCCCCATTGGCCAAACGTCGTCCATGTCCAAGAGCAATGAAATCGACAAGTCGTCCATATCTGGCGTTCGTGAATGCAATTTAGAGATATGAAGGACGTCATGCTATTTGCCCCTGACAAGTGCAGCTTGTGGCCGGTGGCAGCGGCCGTACCAACGTCAGCTGAAATCAGGGGACAGAACAGACCGTGCCGAGCATTGTCACGCTAAACGTTCGCCGCCAAATTCCGCCGTTGCCCTGGAATTGCACGATCGGGTGGGGGGGGGGGGGGGGGTCAGGGCTCACACAACAAGCACTGCTTAGCTTGAACTCTGGTCTCAGAAATCCATCCATTTGGAAGGTTCGGATATACATTCTTTTAATTGGCTCTGAAGCAATGTTGTGCAGACTGTGCAAGTTTCATTCACGAACCACGTGTTTTGCTACATGATGCAAGAAGCTGGACATCCTTACTAGCCATTAAAGAAATACGCCTTGCAATAGAACAATACCCCGCCTTACTGCATTATGGGTAGTGATAATTTGACGTCATCATGGGACTAAGTCATATGCCATCAACGCTATGGCGGTGCGAAAACGTTATTCTTTGCGGACTGGTTTAAACACAAATATTTCCATAAGCCGATTTGTTCGACCTTGCACATTTAACGAAACACTTTCAGCTGGGAAATGGTATTGGTTTGCACCAGAGCCACAAAATTATTGCTGAAATACGCTTCTGCCCCGCCCCCGACAGACAAATTGGTTACCCATTCAGCAGTGATTTATCCCGAAGAACTCTAGCTGGAAGTGCTTAGAAACAGTCTTTGTAAAAATGTACAACAAGCAAAAAAAAAAAACGACATGGGGTGGAAATGAGATACGGCGGGCCAGACGGGCCTGCAGCGCCCTGGGTTACGTGTTGAGCAGTTGGTATGCACATCCTGTAGCTTAGGGGGAGCGTTTTCAGGGTGGATGTGGATTGGTCTGCCCTTATGGCGGTAGTGAGTGATGAATGCCAGAGGCTTAAATACATCGCGCGCCATTTCAGTTCAAGATGGGTGAATTTTCCTGTATATGGGCCAATTTCTGGCAAGTTTTGCCATTTCTGCCAGTTAAAGAGTAGAGGCCCCTATCTCAGCTCCGAAATAGTCTAACAAGGATGTTTTAGGGCGCTGGGGGTTGAATGGAAAACTAGGGGCACGTTACTATTCCCGTCCAAAGGATGAAGGCCATTCCGTCCCATGACAGGGTGTCTTCCGGGTGCCATTCTAGCGACACGGGGCGGGATCCTCTGGCCAATACAGAGACCCTAAGAGAGATACATCACATCACATTGGTCCTCTCCCTGAGGCGGGAGGCCTTCCGACACGCGCAGCTGATCCCGGATTAACACAGGAACCTCCATTGACGCAACAACATCCCTGATCGCCGCGGGTGGCGTGATTATTGTCTCCAGACTTCATTTCACATAGACTCAAGATCCAGCTTTTGTTCTCTGTCCTTCAGAAACTTCGAGGATCCCCTGAAATTAGATTGTAAATTGAAATGTGGTCCCGAATTGTTATTGACATGACTAAACCATGCTCGTCTTAAATATTCAGCATTCGGTCAGAACTGGTCGCTGATACAAATTTGAAGCATTTTTTTTTTAAACATGCGCGTTGGCAAATCTTGACAACAGCATCGACGCCCAGCGTTGCATTTCCCATAGGCCGCGTGGCACCGGCTCCGCGGCTGTGACACTAAACGATCGCCAATGTGCAAACGAAAAAGGTGAGGCATCTTGAGGAAGATGGCTGGTAAACTAGGTGAATTGGCATGCATGTTTAAGCTGGTACAAAGGTAAACCAAACGCAACTTAAATCTGAAAAGTGGAGGTGCCAGTTAACATTGCTGCCCCCCCCCCCCCCCCCACCTTGAAAAGCGTGTGCTGGGGGAATGCCCCCTGCTCCCCCCCCCCCTCTGCTTCTACACCTATGCAGTGGGATATTTTGAACGATGGTCGGTTTAGCCCCGTCACCTTACCTGTCTAGTATGGCGATTACCGGTAGTAAGAATCGTATACCATGCACACCAATGAACATTGCAGCAATGGATATGTTTCGGCGAGAGAAGGCGTCAGTCCTCAGGCACACAAAAGCCGGAAAAGCTCCAAAACAGGTGAGAGAGCCAGCAAACCACCATCACCAGTGAAGACCAAGCGCGAGGGCAATCCAGTTTCATTTCCAATAAAACCTGTACGAGCGAGTATTAAGTATGTACGAGTATTAAGACCTGGAAGGTCAGTTCTTGACTTGGATCCAGGAAACGGGATGCTTTAATACACATTGAATGAGAACAACACACTGGTTTGCGTCCCGATGCT